CAGTGTAGGGTGGCCCATGCGGAAGGCCGTTCTTGCTACACGAGAATGCTCGACAAGAGTTTTGGGCTTTGTCATGACTGCGGATCTAAGCACCTCTCCCTCACGATATGTCTACCTCTTCCTATCAGGCCATACCTTTCACAAAAAGTATCCCTATTTTCGTATCCCGAACGATTTCTTTTCTAAATGTGTATTAAGCAATGTGATACTTTAATTATTTATTGCGAAAGACAAAAACTTTTACAAAGGAAAATGCAAAAATTCGTATTTCTCTTCGATTTTATTATCGGTTCATACTTCACGTCCCTAATTTCGAACCAGCCAAACACTAAACTGATCGTGACGTGTGCTTCTGAGTTTTTTGAAAACTCTGTAAATTTTGTCGTATTTGACCCATTCCTACCCAGGGCAAGTACTGCAATAATCACAAAGAAAGTTTTGAAAAAAAAATCTTTTCAGATCAAAGGAGCAATCGAAACAAAAGACTAAGGCCAGGGTGAGTTGAAAGAAAGCCCTCTTCTCTACCTATATAGCCAACACATTCCCTTTTTTAAGAGTCCTTCATCGGAAAGCGACAAACACTTATTAACCCAGCAAATTAAAGGTGTTAATGGACTCATGAAGGTATTGGAACCTCTCAGAGTAATGGTTCTTTGCACAAAACAACTTCCAGATTTCAGACTTGTGAAAAGACCAAAACGAAATGAATACGCCAAGCAATGAAGTACTGTAGAATTCAACAAATAGCAAATTTCAATGCTAAACTACAAGTAACACAATTACAGGCAAACAAATTTAGTCCGATTCATTGAACAAAATTTTGTCGATTGGTGTTTTCACATACTAACCATACTAATTCACGGAATTTGTTTGTCGTACTTGTTTATTAGTAAGGTTTAATAAAGCTAATTGGTTATTTTTTCGCTTCGACGCGGATTCTTTCCCAAAGAAGAGAGTATGCTTAACTAAATGATGTGTATGGTTTTGTGTATGGTTTTGTCCAAGATTTCAGCACATTTTATTACGTTTCGGCTTCTTCAGAGCCTGAAAGTCGAAAAGCAATTGAGACCGATCCTTTCATGAGCCAAACAATCCTGAAGACAATTTCTCCAGACTACTAAACCAACAGGCGGTATCGATTGAACCAAGAGGGCTACAAGGCTTACCTAGATCTTTGTCGCCCAAGGCACAAGATCGACCACCAACAAGCAGCAACCGAGCGTGCTGAGCAAGCACCTACCACTATCTCTTCTCCCCTGTCCCGACCTCCCTGCACCTGCAAACCTAGAAACCTACAATCGACGGAACGGGCGCCAGTCACCGGATCCTACGCCCTACCGCACCCTAGTTCGAATTGATTTCTTCAGGACCTACCCTCCGCAGCTCACTAAGTTTTTAGTTTGAGAATGATAACGAGCTCAATCGAGCTGACGGATTCACGTGGGACCTAACCCAAAGGATTCCATACAAACCGTTTGGAAATAAACGACGATGCTTAAAGTGTCATTCACTCCAGCCAACTGAATGAGTCTCGCAGTCCGAACCCGCGAAACAGCCGTGCATCTAATGTGAGCGATCTACTGACTAGTTACTGTCGCCTGGAGGGTCACAAAAGGTGGACGACAGTTTATTCTCGGCAGAACAGCTCAGGAGAACCCGAGTTACGCATGAATAATTTTTCGCCATCTGCAAGGGAACGAAAGCAGCGTGAAATTTTTTGTTGATCTCGCGCTTCCAAACATTACCTACCAGAATACGGTGAAGACTGAGCGGTGCGAGCAGTGTCCGAGAATGTACAAAGCTCCCCACATTTCGGGGAGACCTACTGCCGCCTGGGTAACCGTAATCCCTAAGTGGGTGAACTTTCGACCCACGATCCCTCCCATGAGTTTCGCCCTTCGACAAAAAGCACGAAGTTAGGAAAATGTACCCCAGCGCCTATGTAGGGACGAACTGTAAACTCCTCTTGGGCGGGATGATTCACCCCGAGGTGGCGAGCTTCCACCAAAGCCAATGTAATTCCGCCTCCCCAAGACAGCTCTATCGACGCCGCTGGACGGAAAACTTCTAACAGCTCTGCACCAACTTGTCTCGGAAGGTAACGTGGTGAGGCTTACGCCCTCGTGGGTCAGCCTTGAATTTCACGACCAGGTTTCCCAATTATCGTAGCTACTCAAAAGCCGCAAGATGACCAGAATAACGTCACTGAAGATGTGGTACCATCTGACGAAACACCACGAAATGAACTTCTGGAAAAAGAGAAAAAATCGATAAATATTTATTCAGATCCCTGCGCTCGATACATATATTCGACATTAAGAATCGCCAACAATATTTGAAAGATATCACGAAATTCACAATTGTTCTCATAAATCTCATTTCATTTGCCGATCAATATTCACAATGATTATCACCATCGGAAACGCGGCGCGCTCCCCGGCCGCGCTTTCAAAGACGATCAATATGGAAATATGGAAAAATTGGGTTTTGAAAATTATCTAGAATGAAAAACAGATGCATATTTTAAGCGAATTCACTAAAGCACCATCATTATCCAGGGACTTTTTTATACAAGGATTTTTTGAGCAGCACAATGGATACAAATCATCGTCATCATATTATGAGGCTTTTTGAGGGAAGAAAATGAGAATGAACTCGCAGCACGAGGCTTGGCGATGGCAACTATTGTCCACCACCTGTCCACACCTCTGCAATCAATAAACACTATAAACAACAACAAAACAATCAAAAATATTACTGAAATTAAATCCTTTCAATCACTGGTACGGCATGCATTACATGTACGACCCGACACACTACACACAAATTTTTTTACAACACTAAAAAATCGATGATACATCGCAAAGAAGACACAGATCACAGCCATCATCTAATCTTAGAACAACGTTCACAATTTTGTCAAACTTTGCGTCGATATTATAGATTTAGAATTCCCGTGTGACGCGTGTGACGCTACACCCGTGCAGACTAGCAGACGTTACCACCCTGCGCGCCGATCACCGATCGATCATCGATTTATCGATTGAGCGATTTATTAGAACGCGACTAGGTATTCGGACAAGAGAAGGCCTCTTTGTTGTGGATATTATAATCGTTCGCGAGGCATTAATCGACTGTTTGAATTATAGCCGAGGCCCAGCGTCGAACTGTCGTAGTCCGTCCTGCTCTGATCGGATTCCATGAGCGCCAACATATCCTGAAGATAAACCAGGGTATGAGATCTATTATAAACGATTTGAAAATAAATGCCAAGCTCAAGAAGTTGTAATTTATTACTCAAAAAAAAGAAAGCAGATGTGGTCTAGTCCATAGGCAATCATGCTACGGTCCCTCAAAATTACATTGGGCGCTGACCGTATGGGCGGAGTTTGCGTCCCGCCTCTCGTCTTGTGGCAGAACCTTTGATACGTGATGTAAGAGTAATTTGGCAGTAAGAATGAGAGGAAAGATGTTGGGTAAGGTAACTCCCCCCCCCAGTGATCAACGCGGAATTGATTTTTGAAACGTTCTAGGCTAATGCAGAGTCCCTGCCGCTCGGATGTCGTCGTGGCGACGCGCGAATCGCACGACTGATCGTGGACTTTCACACCAGCTTAGATTTTTGTTTGGTGTTCTTGCATTGGTCGGAACAAGCTATCTAACTAATTAGCTTAGATCCCATAAGAATTGTATGATGCTTTGCGCGCACCCGCAGGCGCTTCATTGGAGACCTCTGACAAGAAGTTAAACTAGACCAGCAGGCAAGTTACCATGGTTCACCAAACAAATGGCAACATGTGAGGCACAAGACGCAAGCTTTTGGCTAACTATTTCACTCCCCCCCCCGTAGTCATATACGTCTTCAAAAAATTATCACAAAGTGCACGAAGATATCAACCTACGCTAATTGATGTCCGCTTGGCAAAGCAGGAGGCTGCAATTAATAAAATCAATACGAGTGAACAAAGCCTAGTGATTCTGAGGTTTACTATTTAGATATGATAGAGATTTTGAATGAATTTGAAGTTGGCAAAAATTAGAGTCAAAAGGCAAGGTCTATGAAAATTTTGAGTCGAGCTATCTCCACAAGTAAAAACTACTCTTGCAGGGTTTCCACGCTAGAAGGAATTTGATCGGTGTGGCTGTCAGTGCGCTCCGAATGTAGCCCTACGCCAAGCACGCGCTGGAAACGCCACCACTCGCTCATAGCAATAATTATAGGGCGGTCATATTCATTCCGTGAATATTCCAAAAAAACTTGTTTATGGGAGCACACATAGAGAATTGTAACGGCAGTAAAAACACTCGTCACTTAGGCATCACAATTCCATCACATAAGCAGGTCTGATTTAACATCGAGACACCTGTAACCTTCCAGGCAGCCGACTTGCTTGAGCATGTTCGTTGTGCTCTAAGGCGTCCATAATTGGATCCTTGTACTGGTCTAGGTACTTGTAGAGCTCATTCAACGCCGAGAACACATGGAATTGGCCACGATGCACTCGAGACTCCTCATTCAACAGCGCTGGCCATGTCTGATGAAATCGCGGAAATCGGCAATTCGAATAAGTAGCTGAAAAACAAAGGATTAGTTTTGACAACGAATAGAGGACAAAAACTACAAATAGTGACAAAATGATCATTTTCGACAAACCTGTCCACCCAGTCCCTGTATTGATACATGTCCTTCGCGAACAACAGTTTACTCGACGGTGAGTCTTTTGTCAACTGATGATCTTGCGTTGAACATGCGTCCATCAACGTTTGAGCCACAACGGACAAACATCCCTCCACCTAAAAAATACAGCTAAAAATATAATAACAAAGTAGGGGAAAAAAGAAGTTTTCTCAAAACTAGATTGAAATAACATTTATAGAAATCCTCCCTTCATTTGGTATTTCAGCTACTTCAGGGGACGTCCAACTTCTCAGAGTAGCTTCTCAGCTACTTTTACAGCTCCCTCTCAATTCCCGGCTGAATCCACTACCACACCTTAAGGTTCTGCTCAACAAACCCGCTGGTAAATAGTCAACAGTACCGAGTACTTATGCAAGAATAACATCACCGATCTCCATTAGGTGATGTCCCGGTAAAAACACACAAATTGAACAGCCTTTCCCCCTAAGGGTGGGCAAATTGAAACTCCAAGCATGCTATTCCGATCATATGGTCCAGGTAAAATTAAATCTATCAAATCAAATCGATCAATACCTTGGTCGGCTTTTGAATGTCGAACACAAAATGTGGATTCTTTATCAGATTGACCCAAAACCTGAGCGGCAACGCATTGCTCTTCCATGCGTGAACCACTTCCGCATCAGTGATACCGTGTTCAAGCGCCTGAATTGAGGACGATCAAGATTACAGGAATCCTTTCAACTCGAAACAATATTGCAGAACATTAGAAAGCATGACACATTGAACTGCAAGTCATGGTAAGAGCCCTTTACCTGCTCATCCATAAAGTCGAACATGTACTTGATCGCGGCTGGTAGTGGTGCTGATCGTGATGCCGTCGAAAATATTGATTCTAGTAAATCATTGATAAACTTCTGCAGCGTTCCTTTCATCATCAATAACCTGCAATCATCATTCGTCATATACATGGAAGCCGTCAGGCCTTTGTTTGTTGCAAGGCACGCTCCATTATGACACCCCGCCCATGCGATAACTACATTCTCTCGAAAATTTGGCTCATCTTTTCCTCTCTTCAGATTCATGGAAAAATATTGTGGAAATAGCAAGAATTATAAGTTTGCGTCCAAACCTAGTGAGGTAGATTTCTGTGACCATCTTCTCTTGATTCTCGCTCGGACCATGTTCAGTTGGCTTGACGAGATGGAAAAGTTTCTGGCCTTCAGCATCCTTAATTATGTAATCAATATCAGAGATAAAACTACTGAACCATATATACATTGGAAAAACTTGGAAATAAAAAAAAAATATGGGGATTTGAAAAACGCGAACCTGGGTGGAAGTACTGCTGCTGTTTGTGCCAACCCAAGGTCTCGATAATGTCGGACTATTCTTCAGGCTAAGCGTCGATTTTTCACTACGTTCAGATAACAGTGACTAAATAATGGTGATTATTGACAACAAAACAGTGTTCAACTAATTGTAGTTGGAAAAATAGAAATTAGCTTTTGCAGCATAGCATGGAAAGTAAAAAAATAAATATCGATGAAAAGTTAATATGGAACAGAAAGGCCATTTACGTGAATCAATCTACGAGAGACAAGTGATGCTGGAAAGTTTCGCTTGCTATAACCCCGCCGACTTTTTAGCAATTGGAGTGCAGAAAGCCGAAACATGAAAGTTTTGGTCCAACGCGCGCGAGAAAAACCCGCCACAACTTCATGTCTTCGTCAAGGCTTTATTCGCCGCAACTGGCCCGCAACTGCTGAAATCCAGCTGAAGCTTTTATTTTTATTTCCTGGCTACAGTATCACAGAACTTAACACAGGTTGCACTGGACTTACATCCTTTATCAAGTGTATCTAATCCCATTTAAAAACATGACCCAACACTTTACTTTGGACGAGATTGCTGAGACCTTAATTCAATAATTGTTTTAAAGCTCTTCTCAAAGACACTTGGCACGATAAATTGCAGGTTGTTGAGGTGAAACGCTCTGCATAACATGGAGGCCTGGACCTCGAAGCGGCACCAAAACAAGACATATTCGCAGGAAGGAGGCGCTCGCAGCGGGGTACAAGGCTTCACCCTTCTCTCTAGATGTACTCGTCCTTCTGCCCGCCTACCGATTGGCTATCCCAAATGCTATCCCTTGCCGCGATGCGCCTTTTAACACGTTGACGACGAGCGATTTTTTCCTTGTCGCGCGCATGGGACGAGGCGTTTTTTGCATGCAAAGCGCCGGTAACAACAGGGCAAAACTTATTTTGTAGCTCTGTAAAATCTCGAAATGCACAAAATGCCTTTGACTAGAGTACTCCAGACACGTTTAGAAACAAGGAAAAGTTGTTACTACTGAATGCTGGGTGAAATTTCAGTGACATCGCCTGGCATTTTCAAACCTCATGTTAGAATAGGTTCTGAAGGCGCAATTTCACGCATTCTTCATTTTTATTATTAATATGAGCTTTCCTTTAGATGGTACTGGTATCCTGATCACATCTAGAATGAAGAGCGCAGTGTTCCGATTGATTACACCGCCCAATGTTGGCTCGCCCAAAGGGGAAAATGGAGAAAGCTGGGTCCCTGCTTTTTGCGGACTTGCGAGCCATTCCTTTAACACATTGACGACAAGCGCGGGGGATATATATCCCGCGCATTGCAGGCCGTGTCGGACCGTGCGGGGGATATATCCCCCGCACCCATTCATCATTTTTTTTTCGCAGATGCCTGGACTTCTTCTTTCATTCTCATCAGGATCAACTCTATCGTTTCCATCTCTCTTTGAGGAATTTACACAGAGATAACTATAACTTATTGACAGCAATAAAAAGTAAAGTAAATAAATAAACAGATGGAAAACCCACAAGATTATACAACGAGTTCTGCCTAGCCATCAACATTAGTACGGCATTGTTCGGAACATTGTAATGAGCCAACGTATTCAGCCGCTTCCAACCGCTTGGTTCCACGCGAGAAGTCGCATCAATATCTTAACATTACGATTATCGGTAAACCCAGAGCAGTGCGTTTGGCCGGTAAATCTTTGAAAAAGTTCCGTACCTGCAATACCATACGACCGTTGATACCCGTTCGCCATTCCAAATCCAAGTCATTTGCATTTGGTCGATCCGATACCGCGTTACTGTACGTTATCGCGGCGAGGCAGCTTCTCCTTTACCTGTAAGGTCACAGAAATAATTCCCAAGAAAGCAGAATTGAAATGGAGCATCTTGAATTTTTGCCAAGTCGTTTTAAAGATTCGCATGGCACTCTGATTAAAATTAAAACTTGATTAAATAAACAAATTAAATTAATATACTCTAATGAAATTTGAAAGTGAAGATTATAGAAGAGTGAATAGGTGTATAAATAGTGAGATAGTAAATATTATAAAAGATGTAAGTGTTTTTGAAGTTGTAATCAATTACTTTTCGGGATGCGCCATGTACTCCACTTCTACTTCGGCATTTCAATGCAATTTAGCCTCAAAATGACTCGCACGAATCAGCCGGAATTCAAACAACTTAATTATCTTCCCAGACAAATCGGATATCAAAGAGATGGAAAGCTTGATTGTCCTAAACGGCGTGCGATCAAGAATTTCGATTCTCCGTTACAAGCGAGGCGTTTGATAAGCAGCGCCACTTTCTGGCCACTCGCGCCACTTCCAAGCTCACGGAGATAATGAGGGCCTCCAAAACCTATTGAACTCGGATTCTCAGGTAAAATCGCTAATGCGCGGCTTTCCCGAACTTATCAGACAGGGTTCACACCTGTTACTCATGCAAAATTGTTTATGTTCTAGTGTGGAGACCGGTCGTCCTAGTTATTATTCACTAAACTAGTCTATACTCATTGCTCACTGTCCATCCTACGAACCAGGTACTGCGAAAGTACCCCTACAATCCACTATCGCGATAACTGTACTCTAATTAGCACAATATTTTTCTTTAGAATCTCAACTAAAAACTGAGATCCCCGGGGGAGAAAAAACTAGATTTGTTGCATCCATCAACACATGTCATTGTCGTTTGCGAAACGATTCAAGAGACGTAACGCCCATAAATTTAACCGGGACCCATAAATTCGCGCTAACAGAAGACATCATGCGTAACGGACTCAACTGCCTTCGACCATTGGACGATTATAATCGATAGGTCGTACGTACTGTCCAGTTGGACCCAGTGGCGTACAAAGCAGGACGTTCATAAACTCCATGAGAACACCTTAGTTCAGTAGACCTTTTTGTTCTTTATGTCCATATTTTTTTCTAAAATATTAATCAAATATCAAGGCGAAATATCGACGCGAAAGTTATACGAAAAGAATTCTACCTGAGTAATAGTATCGCAATCCAGTACTCGAACGGGCATATCCGGTTGGGTATACGTCATCGAATCGGCGGCGATAAATATCGTCAACTCTTTGTACTCGAACGTTGCACGTAACAGCTTCTCCTCCGACAGAGAATAACTGAAACAATCTCGATTTACATCTGATTTACAACCATTACAAACTTCGACTGCTGTGACTCATTTCCCATTTGCTCCATTACCCTGCTTACGCAGCGCTCTCGAAAATTTATAGCTTAAACGGTTGACAGTTGCAGAGCGGCTACCTAAGGCCGATGTCAGACTTTGCGAATCCAGCGACTCGCTAAGCGAATCGTTTGCGTCAAGCGAGTTTCGTGCTTGTGTACCAGGGACCGTACTATGTGCCAAGGGCAGTCGAATTGATTTTACAGCGACTAACACCGTTTGACAGTGGCAGCGACCAACGTTTTCAAGAAGTCCTTGCCTTATCCAACAGTGTATTTCTTGAGTCGACCTTCCGTGTTATTACCTTTGGTCCGCCCTTCTTCTAACAGTGGTCAATCCACGTACACCGTTCGATCCGCTGGTACACAGCTCGATTTACTGGTGCAAAGCTCGCATTCAGCGATTCGAGCGAGCGAATCGCTGGATTCACAGTCTGAACATTTCGGCGGCCTAAGCCTTGTGCAGAACATTTACACTTTTGCCACACAGCGTCCGACGCGACACTCTTCCACCACAACAATAAACCGGTACCGATCGAAAATTATGCGAAACCATGGATGGGAGGTCTGGACTTATGGGTAGAGTTCAAGAAAAATGTTAGGTTCAGAAAGTCAATGATGGAACTAAGAAGATTTATATTCGTTTAAGGAGTTCAGGACATTATTTATCAGTTGGAATAAAATATGTCACCCAAACTAACAAAACACCACTGTCTTCCTGCAGTGAAGGTACATTCTACGATAGCAGGAGCTGGCTATTAAGGTTCAAATGTGAATCAGGAAGTGCTGACCTATCCGAAAAAAAAAAAAGCAAAAGAAACCCCCGAAATACCAGAAATTAAAGTTCTTCTGCAATTAATTTAGGCATTGCGCGAGTGTGCGTCCAAAAAGTGCCGCTTGGACGAGAAATCCATACGAGAAGGGACGAAATAGGATGGGGTCAAAGGAGACGCAGACACCAGGGCGGCACTATCTTGAAGGTTTGCACTGCGGAGGGGGTGGAGCCCACAGCGCCTTTTCCAAGCATTCTCGAGCCGGGGTAATGGCAGAACTAGCGTTCTGACAGACCAACTTCAATTGAAAGTAGAAGGATTAGTGATACATAGGTAGTTGTGGATATCCCTTGAAGCTGCCCGTAATGAATAGTAGTAACTACTATGTTATTACAACCCAATTGCTGATTTCCATAAACTTACCGAGCTTCAAGTGTTATTGCGTCCTGTGGTCCCTTTTCCATTTGTTGCTTGATGCCCCAATATAGGTCATAGAGACGCTTGCCGGCATAATTCTGTAAGCAAATCCACCATCATTCATCTTGACTTAGAACTTTCACCCGATAATTTCGTGTGACTAAGATCTGCTGAACCAGTTTCAACTCAAGACTGACCCTCAAATAGTCATGCATAAGGAAGGTGAACCATGCCGCCAGCATACGCTCGGCCACACTTTCACTTCGTCGGAAGAGGATTTTCGGCTGAAACTTCTTCTCCACCGTTCGATCAATCAGTTCACGTAACAGCTGCTTCAACATCTCCGTACAGTAGCCCATTTTCTCCTGAAATGAATATAAATTGGAATGGAATGTATAGATATTGATCAAAACCATAGTATACCTGAAGCACCACCATCACCAAAGAGCCAACGTAGACACGATCCTTCCCAAGGAAGTACTTGTTCGACTCCATCGTTCGCACCATCGTGAGGAAGAAAGTCTGAGAAATCAATCTTCATTTTTGGACCTCATACCACCAGATAGGAATTACGAGATTTTCCCGAGTCAGACTATCAAACTCACCTTGTTCATCAGCAACTTATGGAACTCTCGTAGACCTGCTTCGATCGCACCCGCTTTCTGGCTATCCACCTCAAGATCGCGAAGAACCGGATGATTGTGCGGATTGTTCGGGAACAGTACCTACAAACACAACCTTCGTTCACGACGCAGAACAAAAAATTGAAGAATGGCTTCTGAACTGGTTCTTACCCTGGCACAGTAATCCTTATACTCCAAGAACGGCACTATGGGTGTTCCCAGTGGTAGATCGGCTGTGTACTGATTCAGAGAAGTTTGAAGCTCAGCGAATGCCTCTTTACACTCGGTGGCTACCTGGAACCAACAAATTAAACCACTTCTTTATTTGCACACCACGATTTTTCAAATCGTTATTTTAGCATGGAGGAGTAAGGGATTGAATTCACGCTTGCATCTAAACAGCAGAATTTGAACACTATCACATGAGGAACCGGACGAGGGATAGAAGGGGGTACCCGACAGGAGGCCCGTCCGCGCCAGTAGAGTGAGCGGACGAGTCGCAGTGCGTGATGTGTGATGTCCGGACCGTACAACTGTGTACATTTTATCTATTTGATGGCGAAATTACCACAGTGGCTCTGCCTGTCGGGTCTCAGGATCGAGGTCTATATCAAGAATAAAAACCTCTGTTGGATTTTTTGGGAAGTCCGGGGAAGTAAGGCAGAACTTTACAGAAGCGTCGTAAACGAGTCGATAACATGAAACGACAGACTCCAAAAACCTATTCAAAAGAAAGTCTACAAACAATAGTTTAGAAGCAAATAAGATGAATAAAATCATAAGGACCTTGAAATCAGGAAACTCGAAACGAAAACTCAAAAACCAGTTGAAAAATAAACAATGATCAGAAAACGATTCCAAAATCCTTAACCGAAAATTTTAATCCAAAAAAAGACACAAGAAGGGTTACCTTCATTTCGATAGTATCCATTTGAGTCTTCAGATACTTCATCTGTCTTTGATGTGAATTCGTCTTTCTTCTGCAAACCAAGTTGTTAATGTAAATTTCTCAGAAACAAAATAAACTAATCATAAGCAAAATACATACCTGTAGTGTAATCAATTTCACCGAACTTACGGATACATAATAGCAAGGCAGACAAAACAGACGAGCATTGCGGCAATACAAGCCAAGATCACGATCACTACGCTGGACGTCAAAGATGGAGAATCGTAGGACAATTGGCCAGCAGTATAGCTGAAATGACAATGAGACTTAAAGGCACATTCCACAACCAATTAGGTGCGGTGCGATTGGGCTTGGAAATAGAAGGAATTATGTGAATTTGCGCCGCTATCCGCTACTCATAAAGAAAAGAAGCTGTGAAGGCCACAGGAAATATGGGTGTTTCTGTTTCGGTGGACGAGTTAGGCAGAGGAAACAGAGGCGAGAGAAAGAGAGAAGGAGACGACAAAGTATGGAGACAAGTGAAAACAGACACCCTGCCATATTTTTTTCAGTCGTTCTAGAATACCTTAGTCACGAGAAAAATTAGCGGGTGGATTTCATCGTGGTGTGTGCCTTGTGGGCACTGTCTAGAGACGAAATAAGTTACTTTTTAAATCGATCACCTGATATTTCCAATCTTCACAACAACCTCAGGCTGTAGACCACCCTTCCAGAGGCGGTTTCTCTGTCGGAGGTTTACAAGTGAGGACTTTTCTGGCAAGTGCTGTCAGCTGACAGTCAACACCTCCCACCTGAATCACAGAACCGATTAGCACTCCTAGGTCACCGAAAGAAGAATAAGCATGTAAAAAAAGCTTCACATACCGTGATCTTGATATCGCGTTCCATCGCTCCCACATTCAGATCTTCACCGTTTATCGTGAGGTAGTTATCACCAGGACGGTAGAATCGTGTCTCCGCAAATTGATCTATTTTCGGATTCGAGTACACCTCCAATTGACGACTTCTGAAAAATATAGCGTGTTCAAAATGAAGCATACGGTGTCAACCAGTTTCTCCTTGATATGCTTACGCATCCGACTTCCTTCAAAATTTGAAAGACATTCCGAGAGCGATTCTTTCCATACAATGATCTGAGAAGCCGCAGTCGTCAAGTAACACGGAGTGTAGCGTTCTTGTGTTCAACCTTTGCGAATTTTCTTACCATTTCATTACCGACCCCGGAGGGCCAAAAAGATTTTAACGTAGAAGCCTAGTCCAGTTCAGGACTGGTTTGCTTCGACTCAACTAATAAGACGCTTGGAGAATTTGCCTGGTCATTGGTAGTACCTGTCACTTCTTAATCTCCGCTCAAGATGGAAACTGTGATGCAATTCAGTATCAATAAATCATCCCTATGGTAAGGAGGCGAGATGGTGTAATAACAATTTCCCTGTGTACGGTCCGGGGTCAAATCCTGAATCAGATTCCTCCCGGGCCTCCCAAATCTCCCATCCCGTCGAAATCAACGCTAGTGACAAGTATCTGCCACATGCCTCTCCTTCTTCAGTTCAAGGTTTATTCGTCTTTCCCCTGTGTCTTTATTTCGCCAATCCCAACTCACTGATGAGCTCCGGGGATTGACGAAATAATAAGGTTCGTCTGAGGAAGGAGCGAAACGAACCATTTTAATTATTTCGTTTATAATGGTTTTTTCTTTCTTAATTCTCCATAACAAAGCCAGAACAATACTGAATGGTAGAAAGGAATTGGCGCCCTGCCAGGTCGGCAAACTCACTCAGTAATTGTCCCATCAAAGTCGAACGCAAAGTTATGATGTAGCCGTCCTCCGGTGTCACCTGATGGCAATCCAGGGGTGATACATACCATCAAACTATCGTCCTCCACTTCACAAACCGGTCCTGCTTGATGGACACCACTAAAAACAACACTTATGAACTTCAACATTGAATGGGAGACAGGTCGATGCCACACATAAAGCCACTCACCGGTCATTGATGAGAACCATCCTCGGCCTTTGCAGCAACGCAAACCCTTCACCTTTCACATCAATCTGCACACCGCCGGCTGCGATAGTCTTAGCCGGTAGAACGGTTGATACGCGAGGATTCAGTCTGAATCACCAATTTTTCACATCAAAAAAAAGACAGCAAAAAAAACAAAAAAGGAGAATGAAGAGAAGGAGAGCGGGGTGGTGGGAACCACTCACGCGAAGTTGTATGTTACTGGATAGGGCACTCGTCCACGAGATCCATCAAAGTCGATGCGAAGCTGTCTGCCACCCTGCGAATCGCCAGCGTCCATACGACATATCAGCTGATTTTCCCTACGGGATAGCACCTAAAAACAAAAGTCAATGGAAATCCTAGACATCAACACTTCTTGGAATGCAGCCAACTTTCACTAAACGGACCTCGCAATTCACTTCACCGAATGATACGTGAACTTCGCTCCCAGCATCCAAATCGGTACCGTACAAGAGTCACATCTGTTCCACCAGATATCGGCCCTGAAACAGTGCAATGAGCGAAATTATTGCAAAATAATCCACTTAAAAGACCCCTCCCCAAAAAAAAGAGAAAGCTTCCAAATACGTGAAAAAATGAACCCACCTCTATCCGGTTTCACGGCTGACACTGCAGGCTCGACGTACTCATAATCGTATTTCGAAACTGCCGCATAATTCGCGTCATCAGCACGAAGTCTCACCTGGAATTCATTACAATCACCCTTACAAACAGTGTGGATCGAAAAGCATAAAGATAAAGCCATCGACGTCAACCACTCCTTTTTGGGATACGCCATGCACCCTACTTTCATTCATAATCGTGGCGGCATTTTGAATATGATTTAGTCTAGTCATCGTTTTTCTCCAGACAGATAAGTTTAGTGACATTTAGTCGGCCTCATAGGGATAGGAGAGTTGAATGGCCTGGAAGGCGCAAAATCCAGTATTTGATCCCTGGACCGCGCGCACCGCATGCCACACACCTCTCCCACCCTGTTCCCGTAGACGCAAGCAAAAAAAAAGAATTAAAAACTAGAATTCAGAGAATGCACTGCGGAAAACTCGCCCCTCCTCTGTGATCTATGCTCACCGCGACAAGCGGACGTACTGTATCGAAACCGAAACCTCAGAGAACTGTTCTGTGAGAGCCCGCCCCTTGTACTACAATCCATGCTCGTTATGGCAATGATCGTTTAAAAACCAGGGACCGACGACCATAGTGCCATTCTGGCGCCGCAATGAGAGTGCTATCAAGTTGGCAATGTGTAGCATGCCAATCATTTTACTTTTATTAAACTGAGGCTTAAATTGAAGCTATCCCTCAAGATTTCGCCGACTCACCACAATCGGACCCTTGCTGTTCTTGATAGCTGCTTTGCCAGTTTCACAAACGATTTCCGTTGCGGGATGGTATTCCGATGGTATCACTGTGCACTGCACATTGGCAACGATCACCGCACCTGACACGTCTTGATATCGTCGACCGAGGTTTGTCCAATAATGCGCAACTGAAATTAACTTCCTCACATCAGATGACAGCTACCAAACCACCTTCAGATTCGAAAAAATAGCTTTAGTCTTCCCTCCAACTGGTCCTTTTCTTGGGCTAAACTCTTCTATAGTGGGGTTCGCACACAGTTGAGTACTGTTCAACCAGTCCTGTGGTGATTTCGCTTCACATGCCAACGGTCGAACACATCGAGGAATCCGCCACGCACCAGCCACACTCATATTTCGTAGTGTCCAACGTCAGACAAGCTCCACAATTTGACGCCAGGGCTTCACATTTGTAAACCTGAACATGGATTCAGTAGAGTGGCTTCGAAGCAATAATATCCTTCAAACAACGCTCGTGATTCGTGGGAAAGCGCACCATACGTATTTCCCACCGCCAAGGGATTACTCCTAGAGCATTCAAGAATCAGCGTGTGAACCCAAATAAATTCATACAATTATTGACGCGCCCACAGCTTATGCTAAAAGGCAGGACACCGCGAGGGACAGATGTGGTTTCTTCGAGCTTGTGGTATCGCACAAACTTCTTTCTGATAGCAGCATCCTTTTCAAAGTGTTGAACGTTGGCGCAGGACTCTTGCCATTGTCTCTCACATACCATCATCTTCAACCACATAAACTGGTAGCCGCAACGCGACCGCGCGCGACGTTGATGTCTCATTCACGTCTATCCAATTTTGTAGACTCAGCCTACTGATCGATATGGTGTTTTCTTTTGCTATCACTCGATAGACAATAATCACTCTCTTACCTCCACTGCCACGCCGCCAACATTATCCAGTGTGTGCTTTTTCGTCGAGTCACCTGACGACCACACAACATTGAATTCTACTGGAGACGTCCACCCGAGAGGCCGATACCGTAGTGATCAAACTGCATCTCATCACATCTGTAAAAGGTCAACCACTGGAACGAAAAATTAATGGTTTTTTAATACGTTGAAATACTTGTAAGATAAAATAACAATTGGTAGGTACTGATAATTAACAACATCACGGTACTTACATGATATTATCATCGAACGTCTTCACAGCCGACTTTTCATGTTCGATACTGCCAACCCGAAACTGGCATCGGAAATCTGTCATGAATATCGGATCGAGATTTTGCATCTGAAAGTAAACTTTGTTCTGAGAATGCCGACAATTTCTCGGTTTGTTTCATCATACCTTCACTGAGATGTTCCGCCTCTCACCAGCGGCCACGTAGAGTTTCGTCTGTGGTGCCACTATGTGGGGACATTTCTGCGGACCTTTTCGACGTGAGTGACCTTCTCGCTGAAACAGTTCCATACAGTTACGGAGCCGGCAACAGCGCAGAAATAGCTTACAACTTGCTTCAATTATTTTGCCGCGCAGAACTATTACTTTGTATAGCTTTAACTGTTTAACATTCGGCTGCTAGGCGCGAAACCTAGAAGACAGCCTAGGAGTGCGAGTATTCCACGCTACCGAATGCTTGAGCTAGGTATTTGGGCCACAGAACTGCCTGAGTGTGAAACTCGTGAGATCGGACACGTAAGTTATTGTGTAGGCCCGATACTGACAGTGCCTCTACGAATCCGATTGAATGTCGGATACATGGCGCATATCAAAGGGAGCTTATAAGCAAGCTACAAATACACCGATGCGATGCCACCTTAGTCTACTTGCCAATGGCCGATCGTGTATTCTGAATTTGGAGGGGTTTAGAGGAGGTGGAAAGACTTGTGATTTTTTTTCACCGCCATTCAGCCAACTACAACCGTACTAGCATACAACCTGTACGTCTTACAAGATTACCAGTAAAGGTAACGGCTTTATCGTTTCGTAGGACAGTTTCTGGCCGATTTTCCCTCCCCCAATCATGCAGCAAAACGGTAGCTCTCCGAAGTGCCGAAATAAAAGAGTGAGGGAGTTAGGACATTCAGAACACGGGACCAAAACTTCTGCTTCTCATTCTGAGGGAAGGCATTCAACTTCCCATGGAACTTTGAATTGAGGCCCAGATATATCGATAGAGCTTCAAACGCTGATTACAAATATGGAAACTAAAACTGCAAAATGAACCTGCCAAGGAAGTTGTGAGCAGTCAAAGTTGGCTAAAGTAAAACGCTGCATATGGACCATGCTGGATCCCAGGCTTTCAAAGTCGCCGCGGAAGTAGTGGTAGTGCCCTCGCTCTTTACCGGAAAGGTCATAAGTTTCTCTTCCCGTTGGAATGCAAATTTCGAGAGCACTACCACTCTTCGCACAGCAAGTTTTGCAAACCCACGGAGCCTAGGGACTTTAATGCCGTGACCTTTCACTCAGACTATGACGTTTTCTCAGTATTCTCGCCACGAATGCATTTTTGCAGTTTTATTTGGGGCCATATTTGTAATCAGCGTTTGAAACAGGTCAACCGTCCGTTCGAACTGTTCGAACGAGGGGGGTCGCATTTGTGTTCTCTGGGAGGGGAGAGGGGGTCGCATTGTGGCGCTTTGGTATCAGGCAGGGCATAGGTGCGTGCGAAAAAAGTTGCCGTTTCACTGTTTCACTGGTTGTATATACCCCCCCCCGCTCGACGGCTATTTTTGGGGAAAAAGTGGGTGGAGTTTCGGAGTTTTAGGTAGGTTTTGGGCTGTGTCAACTGGTCTCAGAATCAAATACTATAGAAGAGGGAGAGGTCGCGGTGGAGGAAGGCTGGTTGTATTGGGGGGTCGCAACTGTGTGTTGGGAGGGGTCGCAACTGGACCCTCTCGAGAGGGAGGGGGTCGCAAAAATCCCGAAAATGTTCGAACGTGACGGTTGACCCTGGTTTGAAGCTCCATCGATACACCTGGGTTTAAATTCAAAGTCCCATGAGAAGTTGAATGCCTTTCCTGGAAGTAGGAGTAACCAGTAACTAGCTATTCATCATTGTCGGTCTCACAGTAGCAGCGACACCTCTAAACTTACATTAAGTCCATTCACAATATGCTGTTTCCGGCATTTGTCCTCAGTGAGTTTTCCAGCTACACACTCATTCGATTCCAGACACCTAAACTCCAATCATGATGTGAGCTTGTCGTGTAGAAAGATCCAGACACAAAATACCGATGAAAATGAACAAACAAAAGAGTAAACAACCAACCAATCACAAGGAAACTCGCTCTTGGCGCACGTCGAACACGTCGTATACCTATTACAGTCGTAGAAGGAAAAATTTGTTGAGGCTATCGGAGTTATACGACCTGGAAAAATGTTTTCGATCCCCAGATTTCTCCAAATTGTAACAGTGCCCGTCAATGGTTCTTGAATGGGAAGTATGTGTGAAGCAAAAAAAAACAAGGTATGACTAGGAATTTGAAAAAGGTTTTCACTAGAAAAACGAGAACCAAACCAGAACAATTAATTGCCGCTTCCCAAAGCTGATCCTTCAATCATCTAGAAAAACTTAAATGCCTACCTTCAGCAACTATGCTCAGCGTAGCTCGATGATGTGACTCGCTTGGTGGAATCATCGGTAGACGATTTATGGGCGGCGTGGCGCATCGCAACGTTCTAAAAACAGCACTGAAGAGAAGCAAAAAGGATTCAATGTTGTAATCTTCATATTACGCCACGCATTCGTCGCACATCAAAATACTTTCAAACACTGCACACTAAAGAAGGCTATCTGCGGGAACCTCTGGCGGTATAGCGACAACTCATGATTTCTATGGAAAGAAAATAAAAAGGAGATGTACAAAAGAAAAAAGCAGTCCGGGCGCTATCGCAATATATAGGGGCATCCTTCAGGACTAAGCCTAGGAGCAGGAACTCCCGGGAAAATGGAAATAGCTAACGCAGCTTGGAGCCTCTCCACTCCCGCTTTAGCTAGTCTCGTTTTTTAACAAAAGGACACGTTTCACGCGGTTTTGAACCCATTGCCACCACAATGTCCCCATATATTGCGATAGCGCCGTCTGGAACCCCTCATATAGCGTGTTTCACACACCACTGGAATATGGATGGGTGCGAGTTTAATCGGATACGGTAAATTCCGATGAAATGCCGCGCGCGACGTCGCAAAATGGGTCTCATGACCTCCGCGTCAAAATCGAAAATGTGCAGATATTTGCTTTGCACCATAACTAACAATAAATGCCGCCGATGTTCATGCTCACCAACTGATTCCAGAACCCACGACTATCACTTAGAAATTCCGGACTGATGAATCATTTCTTCAAGGGCCTGTAGGTTCTATGGACCGCGCAACTGCCATGCACGTGCAGTCAACGGTTCTTCGCTGCCCAGGAAAAAGCGCTATGTTCCCAAATGCCTGCCAAAAAGAAGCAAGCCTCTACCTCTCCCCAAATGGCTATTCAAAAACAGAACAACGGAACTGAGGTGAGACTTACCCATCATGCGGATCCGGCCTGGCCGGCTCACTGTTAACAACTTTTCCATCAGAAAACCGAAATGAACACTGCAGACGTCCTTTGGTGTCACCCATGTTTTCCAAGCTCACCTGAAAAAACCTTGTTCATCTCTCTGAAAACCCTACCCTACCTGATCCGGTTCAGACTCACATTGAGGAAATCGGCAGTAGTAATCTGGATCTTATCCGGTACCACTCCTCTGATGCTGAAAAGCAATCAATTTGGATTCAACATCTTCTAATCGAACGAGTTTTAGCCTTAATCCCTTTTCGGCGGGTGCAGCGCAATCCAACAAATCCCCTCAAAAGAAACTCCGTGAACTTCCAACACTATCCGGATCAACTCACTTCGGACAACGATTGTTTTGGAAATCCAGCCAACCACTGCTTGTCTTCGGCAAAACTCGCTCGCAAGTGTCCTCTTCGGTACAGATGCTGTTCTTCACACACCAACCACAAAACGGGTCTCGCTTCGCCAGACATGCAACACACGTCGCCGCTCCTTCACCACAGTTCGACGTTCGCATCTTCACCACCTGAAACGAGTTCAATTCAATGATTCACGTCAAACTTCTAGACTGTCTATTCCTACTGGGATGATTGTAGCCCATGGACGATGAAATAAAAGCCAGAAAGAGAGCAGTCTTCTTCTCTAAAACTTAACAGAGTATGAGACACACATTCAAGTCATGGATGGAGCTTTTCAGACACAAAAAGAGCTTCTCTTTCCTTGAAGCTTTCTTCCAAGTCTTGCTAGG